ATGCAGCCTTCTTGAGTGTAAGAGACTTCAAAAACATTACACATAAATCTTACAAAACCCAAACCTTTTGAGTGGTAGTGTACATACACTACACTACATATTGGCAAATATTGCAGCTGAAATACCTCATTATATCCCATTTAAAATAGATGGGAGCCATAGTGACGCACTAACCTGGAATTGTAACTAACAAGTGTCTGCTACTAAAATGATCAGGAGTGGTATTTTAATGAAGAGCATGAACTGGGCATGGTCACATGACATCCTTTCTCTGATTTGTGTCTTGTTTTCTCTGCTTTAATAGAGTGCTTGTTTTGTTCTGTCACTCTAGTGTTTCATGAATTATGCATGTCCACCCACTGGATATCAAAGGGCTCGCAATTCACACTTGAAGATCATTCCACTCATGATTCTATAGTTATAAAGGGCTCTTTAATTATTTCTTTTGTCTTTGCTTGTTAAAAAATAAATAATATATACAGAGAGAGAGATTTTTTTAAGTTTGGAAATTTCAACATTGATAGAATGTTCAGAATTCTAAATCTACTACATACTACTAAAAGTGGCAAACTAGACCCACACTAAAAAAATCGATAATAATGTGCAGTGTTTATACTCTCAAGTCGACATTTGATTACGATTTTGCACTGCTTCTACAGCGAGCTTGTCTAGATGTTGATCTGTTGCAATAGACACAAATCAGGTCAGTGATTGCTTTCATCTTGTTTGTGTAGGAAATATGAACAGGCTCTCGAATACCACAGGCAAATAGATGGGAGCCATAGTGACGCACTAACCTGGAATTGTAACTAACAAGTGTCTGCTACTAAAATGATCAGGAGTGGTATTTTAATGAAGAGCATGAACTGGGCATGGTCACATGACATCCTTTCTCTGATTTGTGTCTTGTTTTCTCTGCTTTAATAGAGTGCTTGTTTTGTTCTGTCACTAGTGTTTCATGAATTATGCATGTCCACCCACTGGATATCAAAGGGCTCGCAATTCACACTTGAAGATCATTCCACTCATGATTCTATAGTTATAAAGGGCTCTTTAATTATTTCTTTTGTCTTTGCTTGTTAAAAAATAAATAATATATACAGAGAGAGAGATTTTTTTAAGTTTGGAAATTTCAACATTGATAGAATGTTCAGAATTCTAAATCTACTACATACTACTAAAAGTGGCAAACTAGACCCACACTAAAAAAATCGATAATAATGTGCAGTGTTTATACTCTCAAGTCGACATTTGATTACGATTTTGCACTGCTTCTACAGCGAGCTTGTCTAGATGTTGATCTGTTGCAATAGACACAAATCAGGTCAGTGATTGCTTTCATCTTGTTTGTGTAGGAAATATGAACAGGCTCTCGAATACCACAGGCAAGCTTTGGTCCTCATCCCACAGAATGCCTCCACTTACTCAGCCATCGGTTATGTGCACAGCCTCATGGGAGATTTTGAGAGTGCCATCGACTACTTTCACACTGTGAGAATATATAACCATCATAATTTGTTTGTCTGTTTTTTTAATCAATTATGATTCACTTCAAACATTTAAACTCCTTCGTTAGGCACTTGGTCTTAAACGAGATGACACATTTTCCGTAACCATGCTGGGTCACTGCATTGAGATGTATATCAGCGACTCGGATGCTTACATTGGTAAGACAACCATCCATGCGCTTTGAATGCTGCATCTGATTCACAAATTTTCTTTGCAACTATTAAGTTGTCTTGTTTTGCAGGAACTGATATTAAAGACAAAGTGAGAAAGACCCTCAGCTCGCCTGCACTGATGAAGATGCTCAACACTTCTGCTGACGGCAATGAGAGCAGAGCACAACCCATAGAAGAGGTGAACGTGTGCCTGGAAACGCAGTCTTTCAATGCTGACAAACAAACCGATGCTTTCCAGCGCTTCCTTTTAGAATGTGACATGCATGAGAGCGATATGATGCTGGAGACGTCCATGTCTGACACCAGCACGTGATTGAGACCTATAAATGGGTCAAAGAGGAACTTTGAGCGTGAGATGATGATAGAATGTGACGCTAAAGAGGACACAACCAACCCACCCTCCCTCCATCCGCCACTCCTGCCGTGTCCTCCGTGTCGGACCCCTGTGGATTTTTTTACTATGAATAAATGTAAAGAAGTGAATGCAAAAGGGTTCGAATGATTTAATCAATAAACCCTGCATCCATATTTTTACACAGATTAGTGTGTTCTCATTGGTGCTCTATTAAAACACCTGTTTTGTGGATGAGGCTGAACAAAATGTGATTTTTACATTGCCAATCAGGCTATAACATTTATCTGCTGACATTTGCATTTAGTTTAGAAAACCCTGAAATTAGTCAACCAAAGGAAGTTACTTGCAACGACTTTGATCAGTGATTTTATCAGTCATCTCAAATCTGTGTTTGAACTTGAGAATGCAAGGTAATCTGTGCATTTCACCAAAACCAACCCACAGATTTGATCAACTTTATTCATTTTGGGAAATTTGTTTTTGTAACGCTTTATAAAAGCTTGGTTAGTTTGTCTAACCAGATTTGTAGTGAAATACAAGAATATGATAATTAATATGAATTATGTGATAACAGTATACACTGCCAGTCAAACATTTGGAATAATTAAAGTTTTTATAAACATGGTTTTTGAAAGAAATCTCTTATGCTCACTAAAGCTGTATTTATTTGATAAAAAATACAGTATGATTGTATGATGTATTGCAAATCACTTGCTGCTATAGAGACGGGATGCTGAAGTTAAGGACAGGTGTAATTAGATATAACTATGTGTAGCTGTTTTTTGTTTTGTTTTGGTAGCACTATTTTAAGGTGTCCTTGTTACACGTTACTTACTATTATAATAATAATAAATTATGCATAATAACATGCAAGTAACCCTATTCAAACCCTAATCCTAACCTTAAGTACATGTAGTTAATTAATATTACTCCGTACTTAAATGTATAATTACACTGTAACAAGGACACCTTCAAATAAAGTGTAACCTTTTTGTTTTAAATTTAATGTTAATATAAATTTATTGTTGCTCAGTAAACTATTGTACATTTAGAATCGTGGACGTGAATTCGCCGTTTTCAATGTTATGTTTGTGAGCTGTACTTTTTCAGCACCGTAATTGCATTGTATCAAAATGACACTTTTAGTGGTTAAAGAAGACACTTAATATAGAGTGGGTCTGATACTTCTGTGGATTAAAAAATGATAGTAGATACTTTTCTTAGATTCAGTTGAGATAACTGAATGGTTTTGCAGATAGATGATGGATTTGCTGATGGATGCTTTTGCAGATGTGAATTGTGCAAGTAAATGGTTGGATAGATACTTTTTGCATATAGATTAATGGGAAGATTGACAATTTTGCAGATATATCTGTGGAAACAGAAGACAGATGGACAGACACATTTGTTTAGCTAAATAAATGAGTTGATAGGCTAATACTTTAGCAGAAAGATAGATGGACAGATAGATAAACGGCTGGATGCCTACTTTTATTGTCAGATCATATTTGTTGATTAAGTACTGTATATATGTATGCAGACGATAGATACATTTGCAGATAAATAAATGAATGGACATAGTCAAAACAAAAATTAATCAGACACAAGATATAATTTTTGATATTTTTATTTACTTGTGGGTGCACGACACTAGTTCATTTTTGTAAGTGAGGATAAAATAAATAAATAAAACTGTGACATTATACCCAAACATTCTTCATACAGTGGACTACCAGTAAAACTGATAGAAATTTATTCAGACACTTTGACCTGACCATGTTTTTTTTATTTTTATTGCTAATGCGACCTTTTTGACTGAACCACAGACTGAACAAAATTAAGCATTGCTTGGTAATTAGTTGATCTAAATTGGTATTATCTAATTGTGTAGGCTACTTAAATTGAACAGCTGGATCATTTTTGGTTGATTGTAATCCATTGCATAGCCTACTTTTTATCAAAGTAATCTGTTATTGAGTTCTTGTCATATTTTATTACCATTTTTTAAACTATAGCAAATAAGCTGTGATAATGTGAGAAATGTTGAAGGTGTCTGAATACAGTTTGGTTTGTCTGTATGCATGCTTTTTCATAGATGGACTGATATATTTGCCGATAAATAGAGGTCTAGCTGTGGAAAGATACAGATGGACACACATTTGTGTGATTAATAAATGAGTCGATTTATGAGTGTAGTAGATTCGCCGATGGGTGGATAGATCTTTTTGTAGACGAACGGATAAATAATTTTGCAGATAAATAAACAGTTATATACTTCTGTAGCTAGACGGGGCAGGTCTACATTTTTTGACAATAAATAATGGATAGGTTATATCTGTATAATTGATACTGAATGCTTTCGCCGACGGATGGATAGATAAATCTGCAGGTGAGTAAGGGAATGGAAACAGAATATAGATACACAGACAGATTGTGGCCTCGTGTTTCTTGCAGTTCCTAGTCGTGACTGTTACGGTCACTCCGTGAGTCAGCCCAGCAGCCCAGGCGTATGGAGCTCAGTCAGCACCGGCAGCCCGTTCGGACCGGATCCACCGTGCGTCCAGCCGAGCTGCACCGACAGCGACTCCGAGGACGACACCGCGGCTCCCGGCACTACACGATGACAGTCATGGTCGCTGTTTTTATCCCCCTCCACCTTGCTCAAATGAAAAGATTTGTTTTACTTGAGTAATATATTAAAGTGTATCTCTAGTATCTACATCAAAAGATGAACTAAATATATAATGCCCAAATAACCATATTCTATTTAGTTTTACTATTTAAAATAACGTAGCTCTGCTTCATAATTCTGTTTTTGTTGTATAAACAAAATGCAACGAAACATAGGCTATTCCTCTTGACGAGACAAGAGAATAAATACCAACGTGCGAGCCTCGCGGTCTTTGGGTGACTTCCCGCGAGAGTTTGCGGATTTCGGCCAGCTAAGAGGGCGAAATGGAGATATGAGGTCTGAAAAGGAGCAGAGGACAGGAAGCAGGGAGAGAGGCAGCGTGGAGATCCAGTTCAGAGAGTGTCAGAGGGAGCAGGACAACGTCGCGGTGAACCCGAGGCACAAGGAGGAGAAAAAGGAGATCTTCACCAAGGTAAGTGGCGCAGTTGTTTGGTAGGCTGGGAGAGTGATGAGGATGTAGTGGTAATATAAATGGTTTATATTTAGTCTAATATATAACAAGTCCATTAAATATTTGTTTTATATTTTTTACATTTAGGCCAAGAGTATCCAGCTGTTGTAGAATTTGCTCCATTTCAGAAGGTTTCCAAGAAAAAGTTAAAGAAGAAAGATGCCAAAGCAGGAACTATTGAAGAAGGTGTTTCTATTTTTAATTTATAAAACATCATTTATAAGTTTCAAGTATTTATAAAAAGTGACTTTACTAAGTAAAATATATACTACAGAAAGCTAATACATTTGTTTAACACTTTATTTAAAAACATTTTTCAGACCCAGAATACAGGCGATTTCTGGAAAATTACTCTTGTGATGAGGAGAAATCAATGGCAAATCCAGAAACACTCCTGGGAGAGATTGAAGCTAAAACCCGAGAACTCATAGGTACTGTTTTGGAAATTGTTTAGCACTCTTAGTCTGTTTGTGGATAAATGTATGTCAGACTCAGGACATGTATTTACAGGACAAGTGTATTACAAAGCTAGTTTTAGTTTATTTTGTTGAGAACATTTTTGATGTTGAGAATTGCTATTCTACTATAGAGCTGTTCAATCATGACATCAATTTGCAGGCCAGTCTGGTAGGATAATTTGTAATGAGCTGCTATGGACTTATTATATAGGTTTTTAACAGATGAGTAAAATATGTCTGTGGTGAACATTACTTGAACTAGATCATAACAGATGTTCCCTATCGATACTTCACTCGTACTGCGTCTGCTAAGACGCTATGGGAAAACTCCTTTTTCTCCAATGACTGAAGCTTTTTCAATAACGCAGTGTAACTGCATGGCCATTGGTTCGTGCAGTGAATTAAAAACAAACCAATAGCTCAGCAGCGGAGCTGCACGAGCCTATGGCGATGAAGCCCGCCAGAATGGGTGGGGCAATCTGGTTTTATATAAGCGGGCATTTCGCCATAGGATCCTCAGATTTCTTCTCCTTCAGCGACGACGTTCTTCGCTGATCTACGAGACTAGTTCTCTCACTGTTGAAATGCCTTCGCAGCGGATCAAGCTGAACCAGCAACCCTCTGCTCGGCTGATTCGCCGCTTCTCCGCCACCTTCAGCTTAGTGTCCCAGCTGATCCCCTGCCGCCATCCGGCGAGCCTAAAAGAGCTTATTTCTAAGGAGGTAAGTTCAAAAAGAGCACATTTTCTAGCGACGTTGTTGCAAATGTTGCACTGCGAGTGTGGCTTGTGCAGGGAACCCTGCACGATGCAGAAGGGCAGTGAGTGCATTGCCTGTCTGGGCAGCCCCCACACAGAGCCGTGTGCTCACTGAGACGGAATGCTCTTACTGAGAGCATGAGTCTCGCTCTTCTCCACTCGCGGACCGCCTTTATGAAGGCAGCCTCGCTCTCTCGTTTCTCCTCTCTCAGCAAAGCTCGGAGAGAGAAACAGCGGAGCCATGGGGCTGAGCAACCGGGGTTGAGCGATCGCACACCGGCACAGAACCCGCGTGCCCGCTCTCCCCGCTGCACTTTGATCCACAGCGGAAGGGCAGTGAGCTGCACCATCACTGAGACAGAATGCTCTCACTAGGCGTGTTTCCATTACCCTTCAAATTGCGCAAATTGAAATGGCGAATTATAAACGCGCCTAATGGAAATGCGTCAATTTCGCAAAAACGCCCATATATCACAAACAAGTTTTTACGCTCGCATGAGGTGGTTTTCTGTTCAATCATGACATCAATTTGCAGGCCAGTCTGGTAGGATAATTTGTAATGAGCTGCTATGGACTTATTATATAGGTTTTTAACAGATGAGTAAAATATGTCTGTGGTGAACATTACTTGAACTAGATCATAACAGATGTTCCCTATCGATACTTCACTCGTACTGCGTCTGCTAAGACGCTATGGGAAAACTCCTTTTTCTCCAATGACTGAAGCTTTTTCAATAACGCAGTGTAACTGCATGGCCATTGGTTCGTGCAGTGAATTAAAAACAAACCAATAGCTCAGCAGCGGAGCTGCACGAGCCTATGGCGATGAAGCCCGCCAGAATGGGTGGGGCAATCTGGTTTTATATAAGCGGGCATTTCGCCATAGGATCCTCAGATTTCTTCTCCTTCAGCGACGACGTTCTTCGCTGATCTACGAGACTAGTTCTCTCACTGTTGAAATGCCTTCGCAGCGGATCAAGCTGAACCAGCAACCCTCTGCTCGGCTGATTCGCCGCTTCTCCGCCACCTTCAGCTTAGTGTCCCAGCTGATCCCCTGCCGCCATCCGGCGAGCCTAAAAGAGCTTATTTCTAAGGAGGTAAGTTCAAAAAGAGCACATTTTCTAGCGACGTTGTTGCAAATGTTGCACTGCGAGTGTGGCTTGTGCAGGGAACCCTGCACGATGCAGAAGGGCAGTGAGTGCATTGCCTGTCTGGGCAGCCCCCACACAGAGCCGTGTGCTCACTGAGACGGAATGCTCTTACTGAGAGCATGAGTCTCGCTCTTCTCCACTCGCGGACCGCCTTTATGAAGGCAGCCTCGCTCTCTCGTTTCTCCTCTCTCAGCAAAGCTCGGAGAGAGAAACAGCGGAGCCATGGGGCTGAGCAACCGGGGTTGAGCGATCGCACACCGGCACAGAACCCGCGTGCCCGCTCTCCCCGCTGCACTTTGATCCACAGCGGAAGGGCAGTGAGCTGCACCATCACTGAGACAGAATGCTCTCACTAGGCGTGTTTCCATTACCCTTCAAATTGCGCAAATTGAAATGGCGAATTATAAACGCGCCTAATGGAAATGCGTCAATTTCGCAAAAACGCCCATATATCACAAACAAGTTTTTACGCTCGCATGAGGTGGTTTTTCAGTCAATGCGAAAAAGGAATAATTTGCAAAACTGCAATGGAAAGTTTTTTTCGCATTTACAGGTCACATGGCGTCTGTAAAAAATCATTCTTCAATGTACTATAACCTCCAAGAAACACTTCATACGTGGTCGCTCTCCAGTATAAGGGGCTTTCCCTACCATTAATGCTTAGACAATTACACTGCACACGTCTGCGGTGCAGTGTGGCTCTGATATGGCCACTGAAGCTGATTGCGGCCACTCTAACGTTAGTCAATGCTTGTGTTTATTCCAGCCGCGCCACGCACGTTTCTGAAGCGGCTCTCTGTGCTGCTTCTGTAAAGATACACACATATGCCTCCTTTGAATAAATATAGCCAAAATCCGTCAAATTCCCACCAAAATCCATTGCCATGACTTATCGCGAGTGGCAAAAGGTTACGTTTTAGTTGCATAACATTGGTTAATGGAAACGCCGTCATTTCGCAAAACTTTTTTATCAACATTTATAAAATATCGCCAAAGTTTTGCGCAAATCTGTAATGGAAACGCGCCTACTGAGAGCATGAGTCTCGCTATTCTCCACTCAGGGTTCGCCTTCAATGAAAGCAGCCCCGCCTCCCGTTTTTCCTCTCTCAGCGAGCCTTGGAGATAGAGAAACAGCAGAGCCAAGGTTTGAGCGATCTCACACCGGCACAGAGCCTGCATGCTTGCTCTCCCCGCTGCACTTTGATCCGCCGGTGTGTCTTACATGTAAGGATCAGCACCCCTTGTTACATCGAGCAGCTTAATCCTCCTAGGCGGATCGGAGTAGAAAGCTGTCACTGACAGCTTCGCATTTGTGTGGGGGTCGCTAAGGCTGCGCTCACAGAGACGGGATGCTTTCACTACGAAAGCAGTCTGCCCCTGTTCACTCGCGGAAGGCAGCCCCGCCTCCCCCGCTCTCATGTCTCTCTCCTCCCAGTTACCTCGGAGGAAGCAACGACGAGCTCACGGGTTGAGTGATCAGGCTTGAGCAATTTCATGCCAGCACACATCCTGCATGCTCCACTTAATCTGCCAGTTATACGTAAGGATCAGCGCCCCTCATTACACGGACCGGCTTAATCCTTCTAGGCAGATCGGAGCAGAGCACTGTCACCTCTCTATTGCTGGCAGCTTTGCATTTATGTGTATGTCGCTAAGGCTGTGCTTAGAGAGATGAGCTGCTTTCACTACGAAAGCAATCTGTTCCTGTTTCGCTCGCGAGAGGCGGCCTCGCCTCCCCCGCTCTCACGTTTCTCTCCTCCCAGTTACCTCGGAGGAAGAAACGATGAACTCACGGGGATCAGCGATCAGGCTTCAGTGATTTAACGCCGGCAAAGCCCCCGCGTGCTTCACTCTCCACGCAGCTCTTTGATCTGCCAGTGTGTTTACACATGAGGATCAGCACCTCTTGTTCGTCGAGCAGCTCGATCCTTCTAAGCGGATCGGAGCAGAACGCTGTCACCAATGATTCAATATTGCCAGTGGTGTATAAAGTACCTGAAAGCTATACTCAAGTAAAAGTACAGATATCTTACCAGAAAATGACTTTGGTAGAAGTTGAAGTCACCATTTAGAATATTATTGTACTTAAGTACGGAAAGTATTTTTTTAATCTTAAATGTACTTAAATATTGAAAGTAAAAGTACAAGTAAATGCAAAATTATATATATATATATATATATATATATATATATATATATATATATATATATATATATCTATATATATATATATAAAAATGTTCATACACAGCTTGAGTAGCAAGATTGCGTTCAGTTTTAACTCTTTCTTCCATTTTGTATTTTTGGGTAAGAATAAGAAGCACTTCATCCGGTATTTAGTGTCTTTCATTCCAACATAAGAAATAATTTCTGGATTCTGCATCTGAAATGGCATTTAGCCTACAGTTTAATGTATCTCAGAGGGGACATGGATGCATTTAACCTGCAGTTACAGATGGATAAATAATGTTTTGTTTTTAAAACGTTGAACGTAAAACGTTGAATACTGATACATTAGCTCTAAAATGTAAGTCACTTATTGCTTTACTGAACTTTACTGAACTTTACTGAAATTATTATTAAATGTGTTATCATGCTGATATTGGCAGAAAAGCGGTACTCTTTGTGTGATATAGATTAAGTTAACTATATTAAATTGTATACATATAAAAAGCATAAGCACAGAAGCATTTTTGCCATCCATAATTTAGTATGCCTGGAATTTTGAGTTTTAATAGACTAATAAATCAACGTGCGTGCAATCTGTGTGTGATTTCGTGATAGTTTACTTGATAATATCAGATCGCACATCATTACAACAACGTAAAGTGGTTAAGCAAATAATAATCATAATCGGCAGGGATCCCAGACCAATACAATTAGTGTGCCTCCTCTATTTTAAAACCCACGATTCGCCACTGGACTCAGGGTTAATTTTACCAAGAGCGTGCTGTTATTAAATTGTATACATATAAAAAGCATAAGCACAGAAGCATTTTTGCCATCCATAATTTAGTATGCCTGGAATTTTGAGTTTTAATAGACTAATAAATCAACGTGCGTGCAATCTGTGTGTGATTTCGTGATAGTTTACTTGATAATATCAGATCGCACATCATTACAACAACGTAAAGTGGTTAAGCAAATAATAATCATAATCGGCAGGGATCCCAGACCAATACAATTAGTGTGCCTCCTCTATTTTAAAACCCACGATTCGCCACTGGACTCAGGGTTAATTTTACCAAGAGCGTGCTGTTCCCCAGCCAACGGAACAGTTCTCGACTCAGCCCAAATGAGGGCGGTAGTCACACCAGAATGTGCATTGGCCATTCAGCAGCTCGCGGCCTCATTCAAAGTTGGAGCCTCTCGTCCTCTTAAGGCGTTTCAGAAGATGCTGGGCCTCTTTGCCTCCGCGTCTCTGGTACTTCAGTTGGGCCCGCTTCACATGCGACCACGAGTTCTGTCACGCGCCTGGCGTCTCGGACGCCTTCGTATCAAGGTGGAAACCGCTCTGCTACTGGTGTAAGCATAGGTTAAGCATATGGGAGAGCTGCAGGCACTCTCTGTGAGCCCCACCTGCCTCGAATTCGGGCCCAGCGACTCTAAAGTCGTCCTGAAGCCAAGGCATGGTTACATACCTAAGGTGCTCTCTACTCTGTTCAGAGCACAGGTAATAACTCTATGGGTGCTTCCTCCTTCGGAGCAAGACCAAGAGTTGAATTTACTCTGCCCCGTCAGGGTGTTGAGAGTTTATATTGAGCGTTCCGCCCCGTTCAGGCAGTCGGATCAGCTATATGTATGCTTCGGTGTCCGCACCAAGGGGTTTATGGTCATGAAGCAGAGACTTTCCAAATGGATAATTGATGCTATTGCGCTAGCGTACTCTTCTTTGGGCCTACAATGCCCCATGGGAGTAAGAGCCCACTCAACTAGTGGCGTCGCCTCTTCCTGGGCTTGGTCTAGCGGTGTGTCCATTGCAAAAAATTGTGCAGCGGCCGGCTGGGCCTCGCCATCCACATTTGCCAGGTTTTATAATCTGGACGTCTCAGGCCCGATTCCTGTCTGCATAAATAGGCTCGCTCTTGTCATATGACAACCAGTGCTTAGGCGTTTGCCTTCTTTCCTGTACGCTCTTGGCCCTCACTGAGTTCCGAGGCTGTACGAATTTCTCTTCGAACGATTACTCCGGGCAGACCTCTGTGAGTTTGGCCCTATTGCCTCCTGCGGGGCTTCCCTGCAAAATACTTGGTCCCTCTGGGACCCCTTGGGTGCTTAAGGCAAATTCAAGTATTAGTCGTTCTTCTAGCATAGCATGGCGGGATTGTACTGGTTCCCCATAGCATCTTAGCAGACGCAGTACTAGTGAAGTATCGATAGGGAACGTAACCTCGGTTCCCTGAGATACGGGAACGAGTACTGCATTGCTGGCCGTGCTATGTAGCTGCACGACTCAGTCGTTGCTTCAATCGAAGTGGATTGGACCTGTGGATCCTATGGCGAAATGCCTGCTTATATAGCCAGATTTCCCCGCCCATTCTGGTGGGCTTCATCGCCATAGGCTCATACAGTTACACCGCGTTATTGAAAAGGCTTCAGTCATCGGAGAAAAAAGGAGTTTTCCCATAGCGTCTTAGCAGACGCAGTACTCGTTCCCATATCTCAGGGAACCGAGGTTACATTAGTAACCAAGTACGTTCTTATTTTTTTGTTCTACTTCTTAAATAACACAGTCGTTCCTCAAATGTGAATTTTGATCATATTGTGTGATTTCAAAACACATGTTGCCATAGATGTTATTTTGCTCATCAACAGAAAACCACTATTCAGATTTTTCAGCTGAAACATATTGTTCCATTAAAATTCACCATAAACTAAGCTCTATTTTCCCTCTGTGTGACTTTATGTGCAGCCAAAAGGACAACACCTTTGCTGGAATACATCAAAAACAAGAAATTAGAGAAACAGGTAAGAACATCATCTGATTGCATGTTATACACTATGATTTTGTACTGTATATACATGATTCTTTTCAATTCTAGAGAATAAGAGAGGAAAAAAGAGAGGAGAGGCGAAGGAGGGAACTGGAAAAAAAGCGACAGAGGGAGGAGGAGAAGCGGAAGCGCAGAGAAGAGGAGAGACGAAAGCGAAAGGAGGCTGAAAAGCAAAAGAAGCTCTCTGAAAAGGAGATAAAGATCAAGGTATGACTTAAAACCATATCACATCCTGAAGATGACTGTGGTACAGACGTTCATGTATTTTGGTCTTAGTTTCATGGTGATTCATTTAATCAGCACAGGTGCTTGTCATTATTTCCCTTGTTTGCCCTGTATTTAAGTTGCCCTATTTTCACTTTTCATTTCCTCCAGTATTGTTGCGTTCTGCACACTATTTCACATTGCCTACTCGTATTTGGATTTGTCTACCTTATAAACCTTGTTTTACATTAGTCTTTGAACTTCATCATCATCTTCGGACATTGAGCATGGCAGACTGTTTTTCACCTGTCATTGTCAGTAATGTACTGAAAACCAGTCATTACATGAGATTTGCAATATTGACTTCTTTAGCTTTTGAAGAAATGTGATCGAGACGATGACGTGGACTCAGACAGACTGAAAGATAAAGGAGATGGTCCCTCTGGGACCCCTTGGGTGCTTAAGGCAAATTCAAGTATTAGTCGTTCTTCTAGCATAGCATGGCGGGATTGTACTGGTTCCCCATAGCATCTTAGCAGACGCAGTACTAGTGAAGTATCGATAGGGAACGTAACCTCGGTTCCCTGAGATACGGGAACGAGTACTGCATTGCTGGCCGTGCTATGTAGCTGCACGACTCAGTCGTTGCTTCAATCGAAGTGGATTGGACCTGTGGATCCTATGGCGAAATGCCTGCTTATATAGCCAGATTTCCCCGCCCATTCTGGTGGGCTTCATCGCCATAGGCTCATACAGTTACACCGCGTTATTGAAAAGGCTTCAGTCATCGGAGAAAAAAGGAGTTTTCCCATAGCGTCTTAGCAGACGCAGTACTCGTTCCCATATCTCAGGGAACCGAGGTTACATTAGTAACCAAGTACGTTCTTATTTTTTTGTTCTACTTCTTAAATAACACAGTCGTTCCTCAAATGTGAATTTTGATCATATTGTGTGATTTCAAAACACATGTTGCCATAGATGTTATTTTGCTCATCAACAGAAAACCACTATTCAGATTTTTCAGCTGAAACATATTGTTCCATTAAAATTCACCATAAACTAAGCTCTATTTTCCCTCTGTGTGACTTTATGTGCAGCCAAAAGGACAACACCTTTGCTGGAATACATCAAAAACAAGAAATTAGAGAAACAGGTAAGAACATCATCTGATTGCATGTTATACACTATGATTTTGTACTGTATATACATGATTCTTTTCAATTCTAGAGAATAAGAGAGGAAAAAAGAGAGGAGAGGCGAAGGAGGGAACTGGAAAAAAAGCGACAGAGGGAGGAGGAGAAGCGGAAGCGCAGAGAAGAGGAGAGACGAAAGCGAAAGGAGGCTGAAAAGCAAAAGAAGCTCTCTGAAAAGGAGATAAAGATCAAGGTATGACTTAAAACCATATCACATCCTGAAGATGACTGTGGTACAGACGTTCATGTATTTTGGTCTTAGTTTCATGGTGATTCATTTAATCAGCACAGGTGCTTGTCATTATTTCCCTTGTTTGCCCTGTATTTAAGTTGCCCTATTTTCACTTTTCATTTCCTCCAGTATTGTTGCGTTCTGCACACTATTTCACATTGCCTACTCGTATTTGGATTTGTCTACCTTATAAACCTTGTTTTACATTAGTCTTTGAACTTCATCATCATCTTCGGACATTGAGCATGGCAGACTGTTTTTCACCTGTCATTGTCAGTAATGTACTGAAAACCAGTCATTACATGAGATTTGCAATATTGACTTCTTTAGCTTTTGAAGAAATGTGATCGAGACGATGACGTGGACTCAGACAGACTGAAAGATAAAGGAGACAGCGGAGAAACGGAGAAGAACAGATGGGAAAATCCGGCAGGACACACTAAGTCAAAGGATTCCAAGGATAAGTAAGAACTACCTAAAACTTGCCACTACTTGCCATAAAAGATACAGTGGGGTTTAAAAATCTGGGATTCAACATCTACCATTTAAAGTTGGCACAAAATGGCAATTCTGTTTTTTGAATGCATCTTAATGATCTTATTGTGAAAGATTTATCCATGCATATGTTGACCTTGTAATCAAAAATCTTAATCAAATCTTAATCAAATAGTAGGAGTAAAATCGAGAGTGACAAGGAGCAGCGGGAAGGTCACGGCCGTCGCCAGAGGGACAAAGAGCATCGCGGCAGAGATGAGGAGCGCAAACGACAGAGGCATCACTACGAATTTGACAAATTCATGCGACGCAAGGAGGAGACCAAATGGGGTAAAGGCTACTGCCAGGACAGAGCCAAGAAAGACCAACATCATGGCTATTCTTACTGCCCAGAGACCGGAGACAAACTGGGCAAGGAGGATCGAGAGGACATGGGCAGCAGGAAAGAACGGATTCGCAATAAGGTAAATAAATGCTAACGGAGTAGCGATATCTTACAGTCACAGTCCATTTGCTGCCCTGGTTCTGGTATTATGTACAGTTATTGTCATCAGTCAGTTTGTCCGGTCTGTGTAGCAGATGAATCCACTAATGCATTCAATATTTACACATCTGTAGTTGATTTATACATCATTATGTCTGTGGGAAATACAATACGAATCTGCCTCCCTCCAGGGGCTTTCAATGCAGCCTACACTGATGTGTTGAGGTAGTTAGCTGTAATTTGGCTGTTGGCAATATTATTGACGGAAGACAACGTGTCTCTCAGTCTGTGTTAGTGCATCAGGAGAAAAGGACTTCCCAGTCTGAGGGGCCAGACCAGATAGGAGGGGCTCTGCCAGCAAAGGTACAGCTAGTTTTTGAGCCTTTCTACCCACGGGAGGGGATGCTACACATGCTGTTTACTGAGAGGCAGCGCACCTTACTGTGCCAGGCGTGCTTGTTGACAGCAGAATGTTGCTAATGCTGTAATGGCACAGATGAGGAGTGGTTCCCAATAGAAGAAGTTTATAAAAATGAAAACTACGGCTCTGTTCCAAAACGTAGTGAGTTGCCTACATGGGCAGCATTTTAAGGCATCGTATGCATCTAGCTCCCAATGTAGAGATGGTGTGGGGGATTCATTTAAGATGGCAGATGAGGAATGTCCATTAGAATTATAGTGTAAAATGTATAAATGAGATGCAACAACTCATTTAAACCTAGAAATAAAAAATTAAGATTTTTTAAATGTCATAAAAATATAACATTATAAAAATTATATAAAATCTTAAAAAATATCTGCTATATTGCAGGGGGGATATCCATTCAAGATAGCAGATGAGGCAGGAAAATGTATAAATTAGATTCAACATCTCATTTAAACCAGGGAAAAAAATTAAATGTGGATTTTAAGGATTTTGAAACATTTAAAACATAGAAACTTTATTTCATAAAGTGAAGAATAAATATTTAGGATTCTGCTTTTTCAGAGAAAATAAATCTGTCCTAGATGGTGGATGAGGCGAGAGAAATGTAGAGTAAATTATAGTTACTTAAATCGAATATTTTTTTTCAACCTGAAAATAAAAGTTTAAAGGGTTAGTTCACCCAAAATATTTAATTAGCCCATAAATTACTTATATTAAAGTTATATAAAAAATTGTCTTTATTCTTTCAAGCTGTTTAATGCAACTCAGCGGGTGTTGCATGCATCAGTCCAAAAGAAGTTAAATAAAAAGCGCCCATCCATAAAAAATGTCTCACACAGCTCCGGGGGGTGAACAAACGTCATCCGCCCGGAGCTGCTTCCGTGTAGGACTATTGGCGCAAGCTACATTAAAGTGATTATTATGTTTTGAATATGGATATTTTTCTTACATAAACGCATCGATTCGCTACAGGAGGCCTTTGTTCACCCCCCGGAGCTGTGTGAGACACTTTTTTTTATGGATGGGTGCTTTTTATTTAACTTATTTTGGACTGATGCATGCAACACCCGCTGAGTGGCATTAAACAACTTGAAAGATCAAAGACAATTTTTTATATAACTCAGACTGGATTTATCTGAAAGAAGAAAGTCATATACACCTAGGATGACTTGAAGGTGAGTCATTTATGGGCTAATTTTCATTTTTGGGTGAACTAACCCTTTAAGGACTTTAAAATGTAAAAAAAAAACTGTTTAAAATCTAGGTTTATTTTAGGAAAATATCCATCCAAGGCGGCAAGAGAAATTTCAGTTAAACCATATTTATCCACTAAATGTTTATGCACTATGTATAGTGAAAGAATTTAATCATATATAAAAATTTAATTTTTCCCAATATGTTTTTAATGAGGAGCACTATTTGTGTGATTGCTGCCTATGTAAAGCATATGTAGAGTGTTGTCTTAAAAGGCTGCTTCCTATGTAGACAGTAAATAGCATTTCACTTGGTTTTGGAACAGATCCTACATGTATATAGAAGAATACCTATATCTTGCACATTGAAATGATTACATGCTGGATTCTGTTTATACATTTTAGTAAGTAGTCATTTAGCAGATGATTTTATCCAAAGTGACTTACACATATTTTCTGAAGCGATGATAGCAACAGTAGTCCGGTTACTAGCCCTGAGCTTTAGCCATTATGTGTCACCCCCATCACGTGCTTGTTGACAGCAGAATGTTGCTAATGCTGTAATGGCACAGATGAGGAGTGGTTCCCAATAGAAGAAGTTTATAAAAATGAAAACTACGGCTCTGTTCCAAAACGTAGTGAGTTGCCTACATGGGCAGCATTTTAAGGCATCGTATGCATCTAGCTCCCAATGTAGAGATGGTGTGGGGGATTCATTTAAGATGGCAGATGAGGAATGTTCATTAGAATTATAGTGTAAAATGTATAAATGAGATGCAACAACTCATTTAAACCTAGAAATAAAAAATTAAGATTTTTTAAATGTCATAAAAATATAACATTATAAAAATTATATAAAATCTTAAAAAATATCTGCTATATTGCAGGGGGGATATCCATTCAAGATAGCAGATGAGGCAGGAAAATGTATAAATTAGATTCAACATCTCATTTAAACCAGGGAAAAAAATTAAATGTGGATTTTAAGGATTTTGAAACATTTAAAACATAGAAACTTTATTTCATAAAGTGAAGAATAAATATTTAGGATTCTGCTTTTTCAGAGAAAATAAATCTGTCCTAGATGGTGGATGAGGCGAGAGAAATGTAGAGTAAATTATAGTTACTTAAATCGAATATTTTTTTTCAACCTGAAAATAAAAGTTTAAAGGGTTAGTTCACCCAAAATATTTAATTAGCCCATAAATTACTTATATTAAAGTTATATAAAAAATTGTCTTTATTCTTTCAAGCTGTTTAATGCAACTCAGCGGGTGTTGCATGCATCAGTCCAAAAGAAGTTAAATAAAAAGCGCCCATCCATAAAAAATGTCTCGCACAGCTCCGGGGGGTGAACAAACGTCATCCGCCTTCCGTGTAGGACTATTGGCGCAAGCTACATTAAAGTGATTATTATGTTTTGAATATGGATATTTTTCTTACATAAACGCATCGATTCGCTACAGGAGGCCTTTGTTCACCCCCCGGAGCTGTGTGAGACACTTTTTTTTATGGATGGGTGCTTTTTATTTAACTTATTTTGGACTGATGCATGCAACACCCGCTGAGTGGCATTAAACAACTTGAAAGATCAAAGACAATTTTTTATATAACTCAGACTGGATTTATCTGAAAGAAGAAAGTCATATACACCTAGGATGACTTGAAGGTGAGTCATTTATGGGCTAATTTTCATTTTTGGGTGAACTAACCCTTTAAGGACTTTAAAATGTAAAAAAAAAACTGTTTAAAATCTAGGTCTATTTTAGGAAAATATCCATCCAAGGCGGCAAGAGAAATTTCAGTTAAACCATATTTATCCACTAAATGTTTATGCACTATGTATAGTGAAAGAATTTAATCATATATAAAAATTTAATTTTTCCCAATATGTTTTTAATGAGGAGCACTATTTGTGTGATTGCTGCCTATGTAAAGCATATGTAGAGTGTTGTCTTAAAAGGCTGCTTCCTATGTAGACAGTAAATAGCATTTCACTTGGTTTTGGAACAGATCCTACATGTATATAGAAGAATACCTATATCTTGCACATTGAAATGATTACATGCTGGATTCTGTTTATACAAGTAGTAAGTAGTCATTTAGCAGATGATTTTATCCAAAGTGACTTACACATATTTTCTGAAGCGATGATAGCAACAGTAGTCCGGTTACTAGCCCTGAGCTTTAGCCATTATGTGTCACCCCCATCACCACCACCATAAATACAAACCATGTTAAATGCAAAAAAGAGCATAACAGATACAGTGCAGTAAAATGTTTTTGTTATGGACTAAATGGATTTTGAGGGGCTGTCAATAGCTGGTTGTCTGCCTAACTGAAATGTGATTCAGAAGGGGACGGAAATCGATTATATGCATGAATAGCACTTTCTTAAGTAACCTGTCATGAGAAAAATCTGTGTTTGTGGTATGAAATATGAGTGTATTGCTTTTGTCTTTTGTGTCTTACTCATTTCACGGCACAGGACCGACCGGCAATGCAGCTGTACCAACCTGGTGCTAGAAACCGCAAGCGAATGGGCTCTGGAAACAAGACATTTGACTTCCCACCAATCTCTCCTGAACACGGAGGAGAACACTGCTACAAGACGGTCATTGGTACAGGCTCAGAGAAGTGTGCCGATGAGTGAAAAAAAGACCAAGACAGGAAGAAGTCTACTTTCAGAAGCAAGGGTCATGCCAGTATAGAAAGAACAGTCAAGATCAACCTTTTTTTTCTGTCTCTTGAATCTATGTGTGAGTATAGTGCATTGAAATCCCCACTTAATATTTTATACACAGTCAGCAGTGTCATAAATCTAAACTGATCGGCTTCTGAACGCTTATCAAGGATTCACACCACTTCAGTGACAACAATACCTCAGATCAGATTTGTATGCCTTTTGTAGTGCAAGAAATGGATTCCGTTAAACAAAAGAATATAGATTATATATATATATATAGAGAGAGAGAGAGATTTTACTGTAAAAAAAAAGCTGTATGTGTTGTGAAATCTGTATTTTAAATATATGTAATGTGGGATGGGGAACAGAGACATATTTTTTCTTTAGGAATATAAAAATGCTACATTGTATTAATGAAACATTTAAGCATGCAACTCTTAATTTTTACACTTCTGTCTCTTGAATCTATGTGTGAGTATAGTGCATTGAAATCCCCACTTAATATTTTATACACAAAGTCAGCAGTGTCATAAATCTAAACTGATCGGCTTCTGAACGCTTATCAAGGATTCACACCACTTCAGTGACAACAATACCTCAGATCAGATTTGTATGCCTTTTGTAGTGCAAGAAATGGATTCCGTTAAACAAAAGAATATAGATTATATATATATAGAGAGAGAGAGAGAGAGATTTTACTGTAAAAAAAAAAAGCTGTATGTGTTGTGAAATCTGTATTTTAAATATATGTAATGTGGGATGGGGAACAGAGACATATTTTTTCTTTAGGAATATAAAAATGCTACATTGTATTAATGAAACATTTAAGCATGCAACTCTTAATTTTTACACTTTCACACTGTAATGCCTTTGAATGATGCCTCTGTTGTCCCTGATGTATAGACATTGTGGTTTTTCTGTATTAACAAATATATCTCACAACAGGATATAGCAAATGTCAGAGCATCGTTTTACCTGCGGGCCAAAATGAACAAAAAATTGTTTGTTAAAATCGTCTTCTGTTAGGTCAAATAACAGGTTTTGTGATATTTCTGAACAGTGTGCATGTTTTTGAGAAATTGCAGTAATTCGGTGGTGGGAGGCTACATGCCTTACCTTTGATTTGCACTTAAAGATCCCGTCTGTTATTAAAATAGCCTACAGGTTTTTAGAATTATTGTTGAGTCCAACAAAAAAAGTAAACTCTGTAGAATACTTTAAAAATGTGAAACTGTATTTGATGGATTGACCATTTGTGTACAATAAAGATATATGATTATATAAAGTATTATTTGAATTTCATTATTATTTCTTATGATTCTTTACTTTAAACATTTAAATTTGTAACCTATATTTTGACTTTTACACTTGGATTAAATTGAACAATGTATAGCTTTAAAAACAATGAAAGAATTTGTTTAAAATAAATTAGTTAAATTAACAAAGAAATTGAATTATATAAAATTACAAAATTCTATAATTCAGTATTTGCACCGTAATTACAGTTTCTCGTGCAGCTAAATTACAATTGAAGTAATCCTAAAAAAAAAAAACTTTTTCTTAAGGCTGGATTTCTTGAGATTTATGGCCTTTGATTGCAAAACAGCTCAGCAGCTGAAGTCTGCTCTTTGTGAGTCAACTCTAAACCAGAATCAGTTTGCACTGAAAAGATGGAAATTAATGTAATTTGCAGTTTCTCATACTACTCCTTTAGTTCCCACACTTTCAAACTGAGAAAACAAGTCATAATGTCTTCCTGTGTCTTTCGCGGCATGACTTTTTACCTCTAATTTTACTTCTTAGTCTGGTTTTTGCATACCTATCACCACTGCTTTCTTGTTCTCAGTGAAGGCGTATTGATGGAAGATGTGATAAACACATCCTATACTGTCACTAATGGCAGTTATCTATAGTCAGTCAGTAGTAAAAGCAAATAACAGTTCCCCTTACTCCAAAATAAAACGCTTATTTTCGGTTAGTGTGTTGTCTAGTAAAATGCATGAATAACCAACATAAAAGTTAAGCTCATAAAGCAAACAGGAAACTAGATCACAGGTATGACGCTGATAAAACCCCCGAATGAGTTTCTGCATTACAGTTTCTCGTTTGGTTTTTCTTTTGTAAAAATCTATTCAATAAATACTTTCTATTCTATAAATCCACATGGGATTTTACAGGCCTGACCAAAGAAACACTGAGGTTTGTATTAATGCTAATACAAGTAAGTTCATTTGGCGTATCTCAAAAGTGAATTGATCATTTCACAGTTTGATTGGGTGGGACCCCTCAGAGTACTTGTGCTTGGCTTGAAGAAAGGTGGGTGCCTTTATTTTACTGGTTTATGTGGCATATTGCCTTCACCACATCCTACCACATCAATTTCACCTTAGCAGGTGTTTAAAAATCCAATCCAGCAAAACATTAAAAAACACACATCATTAATGAGAAAGAGAAACTGTAAAACCAGCATGACATTAGAAGAACTTCCTCTGTGGATGCTGTAAATTCAGTTTTGTTTGTGAATACCACTGAACCGATGAATTAATAGTTGTTATATCTTTGATGATGAAACTCTATGTAATCTTAGAAATGTGGTCAAATTATAAAATACATTTGGAAGCATGGAATATGTTGTTACATTTCACATATGTGTACCTCTAAGCTTACTATATTTTGATCGAATTGAGTAGTCAGGCGGTGTACTTCCTCTCATCAAGAAGTTTCCTGCATCTAACAGTCATGCCAGATTAACTGCCATCAACACACGAGGGAAGTCACGCATGCTTCTTGAGGTACGTACACAAGCCTGATAATGATTTTTATTTCCTAAATATGTGCAGATATATTTTAAGAATCGCTGTGATAGTCCAGGTACGTCATGTGGTTTCCCCTAAAAGATTATTGGAAATTCAGATTTGAGTGAAAAGTTACATTTTGTACATGTGCTCTGCTGTTAGTTAGAACGGATGAATTGTTACCTGAACGCTTTGCTGCTCTTGTCGAGGTAGAACTGTGTGATGGTTCACTGAATCAGGTTGTACAATCTCAGTACAAAATTACTCCAGATTTGACAGTTATTTTAAACGTTCCAACTGAATCTCCTTTTGATACAAAGGACAACAAATGTAACATTTAAAATATAGTAACACTGATAAAAAAATGTCTATGTTAGACTCCATTAAAAATTCATTGATCATATACTACCAATGTCATTTCACAACAGAGAGCTCTTTTTGTTTTGACTACTAGCAGATGAGTCATGATGGTGTAACACCTCATGAGTGACCAGAAAGTACTGTGAGATTTTACTCTGAGCCTGTATTATGTTTTTACTCCAGTAAAACAGGAAACAATGGGCCTAGTTGTGAGTTACTATATGAGGATTTATATTAAAATCTAATTTACAATATGTGTTTATCTCGCAGTGATTTTATATGGTGGTTTCAAACTCCTAAAACTCTTTAAAATGAATAGAATTTAGTTGAATTCTGTTCTTCAAACTAAAATGTTTTGTTTGTTACATTTTACCTTCTTGAATTTGTGTTTGCTAGCTGTTTTACTATTTAAATTTTGCAGACAAGTTTAGAAAAGGCGATTTAATAGCAGGTTCCATTGTGACAACTTACTCCTTATAGTTTGATAACAGGCCCCATTGAGGCAATACGTGTTAATGAACTTTGGCAATAACTGTGAGAATGTTCAAGGTTTTTGTAGCCGAGGTGGTTTGTGGTTATATGGAAACGGACTATATGGGGAAAAAACATATTCGGAGAACTTTTAAATCAAGCAAGTGTGGCAACGAGCCGCGGCTATCTTCACATAGCCTTCACATAGCCATGGTTTCACTGCAAAAAAAAACATGTTATGTAGCTAAGTGCGATAACAGGTTAGTAGTTTATACATTTTGCGATTTTAAATTAGGCAGATACCAAATTCAAAATGACATGCAGTACAGTCAGGTACAGTATACATCAGTTTGTACTGATGTGAGTAGCACTGTTAATGTGCTCTCCACCAGTTGTGCTATAGGAGCGCTTGCACAAAACTTGGGCTTAAAACGCCCATATAAAAATACTTGTGAAGGATGCAATTGATGGACTTCAAGTATAGTGTGTTGCTAAAATTTAACAGAAAAATAAAATAGCCATTGAAAAAATGACAAAATACATTCTGTATGTAATGAACAATGGTTTAGCTAAAAGGGTAGATGGCCCAAGAAAAAAATTCAATAAATACATTTTTTTTAAATCACTCACTATTATGTTGTTCTAAAGCTGCATGACTTTTTTTCTTATATTGATACACTGAAAGTCAACAATGTCCTATATTTTTTGGACCCCAGCAGTCTTCAAAATATCTTCCTTGGTCCTCTGCAGAAGAACCAAAGACATACTGTACAGGTTTTAAACAACATGAGATGATTAAATGATTACTGAATTGAACTGAATTTAATTGGGGGGTAAACTGTCCCGCAACTAATAGATATCACCATATTTTCCCCAGTTGATTTACTACATTAAGAATTGCAAACATTTTGATTTGTATTACAAGTTTTCTGAAATTATATTTAAATATGCAAATGATGCATTATTTAATCAAATATGCACGAATTTGCATAAATTATTATGATTTTTTTCCCCATTCTGCTGACACACAGTCAAAGGTTTTTACAGAGGAGATTTTGGATGTCTCTTTTCATCACTCCATAAACCCAGAAATGTCCCACTTATATTAGGTGGCCTTACTAGTACTTAGATTTAAATTAATCAGTTGATCCAATGCACTTATTGTGTACATGCATGTACATTGTACTTATATTTTAAAAAATACCTGCATGTAATTACACCTGTAATTACTTTCTGTAATTATATTTATAATTACACTGTTGACACATTCCTTAAACCTTAACAAACACTTAAACGTACCCATACCACCAAGACCGGTCCCTAATTTTACCCGTATCACTACCTCAATAGCAGTATATTGTACTTATTTTTATGTTAAGGCCACCTAATATAAAGTGGGACCAAATACTGTCAACAGCCAGATAAAAATCACCTTATTTTTAGGAAAAAATGTTGTATAAAATCGGGTGAATTATATATGTGACTCTGGACCACAAAACCAGTCATAAGGGTAAATTTTTTAAAATTGAGATTTATATATCATCTGAAAGCTGAATAAATAAGCTTACCATTGATGGAATCTGAGGGTGCAAAAAATATTGAGAAAACCGCCTTTAAAGTTGGCCAAATAAAGTTCTTAGCAATGCATATTACTAATCAAAAATTAAGTTTTGATATATTTATGGTAAGAAATTTACAAAATAACTTCATGGAATACGATCTTTACTTAATGTCCTAATGATTTTTGATATAAAAGAAAAATCTATACATTTTGACCCATACAAAAAAATACAATAAAAGCAACACATAAAAGTGTATTTTGTATGTTTTCTTACCACTAGTTTGAAATAACACTTCATGAAAAGCCAAAAGCCCAAAACCTCAAAATAGTGTTTTAGCCTGTACACTCAACATTTTTTTTATTATTATTATTATTATAGTTTTTAATTAAGTTTAGTTGGCTTAGGTCAAAGTAAACATCAACTTAACTTTATCACATTTGTCTATCTTTCTATATATCTATCTATCTGTCTATATCTATATATCTATATATATATATATATATCTATATATATATATATATATATATATATATATATATATCTATCTCTCTCTATATATATATATATTCTAGCCATGCTTTGTATTTTATAATTTACAGACATTTAATTACTTTCTCATGTTTAAACAAGCATTGTTTATAACAATGTGTATAACAAACAAATAAGAAAAAACTGGTGTCAGCATTGACACCAGTAGCTGATACAGACAGAATGCCCACAGCCTAAGCACTTTTCTGCATAATGAAAACCACAAAATTCACAAACATTCACTGCCCCTTAAGTTGTCAACAAAAATAATTCATGTAGTTTTAACGCAAATGATTTAAGTAAGCTTCACATTTAAATATATTAAGTAGAGTGAACAAGAAAATGGTAATAAAATGTTCAGAAATCTCATTACTGTAGCTCATTTTAATTATTAAACTGAACAAGACGGATTTGTTTTGTTTTCCTTTTTTTTGGATGCAGCGTTTCGGCGCTGCTTTAGGTCGCACAAAATTCAAAGAATTATAAAGCAGAAAATAAATGACTCAAGAGCGTAGGGTTGACTTTTAGACAGAGCTGGGGACACATTTTAGCCACTAACTTTAAGTATTCAGTTTGAGTATGCAGAAAGGTGGTGTACCCATAAGTTGGCATCATGACCTCAAAAAGGACACATCAAGTCTATGAATATCTGTTAAAGAAACCAGGACACTGTTTCAGAAAACATTATTTCACGTAAATCATTTGAAACTACAGCCAACCCCTACAATTGCAATCTGTGCAAGACAGCCGCACGAGATCTGTAATGACTGTCAAATCTGATGCTGGCACACGCTGTGGCATTAAAATCATTTTTTCACTTCCTTTGAAAAATCACAAAAAAGTCCCTTGCTCGAGACTCTGTCCATGTGAATCATTTCAGTCAACATTTATGAAACAGCTCTGAGAATTACGACTTATGGCAGTGATTTGTTGGTTAAATGTGCCATCTACCTTGTGTGTACCTGCTGAAGTAGCATGTTTGGAAAGCCTATAACCTGGCCTCGCACTTCCTGTTCACAGAGTGCACCTCAATCTATGTTATGGTGTGAAGTAGCATCACTTTTACATTTATATCTCATGTCTTTCCTGTGCGACTGCAGGGAGAAGTCTTTTCAGCAAAACCTTATAATGTCACAGGCATCTTAAGAGTAGATACTAAAATCAAATTCATTTATAGTATTTTATTTTCGAATTTATTTGTAAATTCTAATAAATAATGTTAATATTAACATAAATATTAAAATATTTAGATCAAATATTTAGATCAATTAAATTATATATAAATGCTAAATCTTTCCATTATACAGCTCAGAAAAAAAATGGTACAAACATTGTCACTGCAGTGGTCCCCTTTCAAAACGTATTAATACCATTTAAGTGCTACTACATTTTAGGTAATAATATGTAACTTTAAGGTACTAATATGCACCCTAAAGGAGTATATAAGGTACAAAATGTACCTTTCGGAAGTGTGCCATCCCAGCTTTTGTACCTTTTTTCTGAGAGTGTAAAAACTATTTAAATTGTAATCTTTATATCAATTATGTGTTATAATGTTCCAGTGACTCAGTGGTAGAGCAACCTTTAGCAGCGCAAAAGGTTGTGGGTTCGATTCCCAAGGAACAGGACATTATTTATTATTATTAAATGATAATTTATGCATTTTTTAAAAATTTGATACATTTTCTTTTTTAAAAGAATCTTAAATGAAGCACTTAAAGTTCAACTACAGTGTCAAAATATGATTTTGTTAAAGTTGTAAATAAAATGGATTTTTGGAGTACTATATCAATCTTTCTACTTGGAATTTTCACATTTAATTCAATGTTTTACTTCCCGTTTCTTTGTAATTATTTGTGAAAACTACTAGCAATTGTTTCTACACCCCGATTTTTGTACAACAAATAAAACTAACCAACAATGCAGATGTTTATCACAATTTGAGGTTCAAGTGGTAAAATCACAGTTTATAGTAGGTGTAATCTCTCTGTCTCTTCAAACAGGTGGGAAAACAACCATGAATGACTCACAAAAGGTTGACATCAAAATGGACAATGCCACCTTGGCCATGTTTGACAACAAATTGGCCAGTGAAATTGTGTCAGCCATCTATGTCATCGTGACCCTTGCCAACCTGAGCGGTAACGGCATCTCTCTGTTTCTGTTACTGATGCGCACCTCTCCGAAAACCCCTTCCATCATCTTCATGATCAACCTCACCCTCACTGACCTGATACTGGGCACTGTGCTCCCCTTTCAGATCGCGTACCAAATGCAGGGCTACAACTGGACTTTGGGTGCAGGCATGTGCAATGTACTGACGGTGGTTTTCTATGCCAACATGTACTGCTCCATTTTATTCATGACTGCTATTAGCGCCGACCGCTACCTGGGGATTGTAAAACCGATGCGCTTCAGAGAGATGAGGAAGAGAAAAACATATGCAATTGTTGCCTGTATATTCATATGGCTGCTAGTCCTTGTGATTCTGAACCCGCTGGAACGCACAGAACTGATTTATGAAGTAAAGGAGCGCAATATCACCACGTGTTTTGACGTGTTGAAGAAGGACATGCTCCCGGGCACTGCTCACTGGGCGGGCTTCCTTTTTGGCATGTTCATCATCCTCTTCCTCTGTCCGTTCATCATAACAGTGTATTGCTACATTAACATCATCTGCGTCCTGGTCAGAAAGACCAATAGTCAACAGAAAGGCCGTGCTGTGCGGTTGGCGTGCATCGTTCTGTTCGTGTTCATTTTTTGTTTTGCTCCCAATAACATATTACTGTTGGCCCACTCGATCGCAAGGCTGTACTATGACAAATCTCTCTATATCTACTATAAACTGACCCTGTCTCTTAGCTGCATTAATAGTTGCATAGATCCATTTATTTATTATTTTGCATCGAAAGAGTTTCGTCGGAAGCTGAGGCAAATGCTGAGGTTGCAGACTCTCAGTACGGGAGAGACGCAAATGATTGAGGGTCATAGAGAAAGCTTTTTCTCTGGACGTTCAACGTGCAATGCAAATGAAGACTGTGAAGACTGTTTTTAACATGACTTTTAGTTTCTGCTATTTTTATTTTAGAGGAGGGGGAGATGTCATAATCAGGAAAATGTCATGATTCAGATTTGCAGCGGCCACATGCACTGTTAAATGAGTCAGAGCACAAGCGCTAACCGCTAGGCCACAGCTCTGACACAATTCCTAGTGTTTATAATAATATATTTGTAAATGCAAACTCATAGATAGGACCACTTCCTATATTTTGTTTTGTTGTTATTGTTTTGTAGCATTTAGCTTTTGTTCTGTTTTGATTTCCTGGCTGAGCAGCTGAAGAAAAGCACGCTGCTCACATGCATTCATGCCACGTGATTTTGTGTACTTTTTTTTTTTTTTGGTATCAGACAACCAAGTTCCTACTCACCGAAACTTTGGCGTATTTGTTTTGTACATTGATGCGTGGTTAGACTTAGCAGCAACTTCAGTAATTTCTGATTCGACTTAAAAAGTACAACGACTTAATGTGGCAGCTATTTTAGATGTATTGCTAACCTGTGAATTATTTTTATACTGTAAAATATGCAGTTATTGTTTAGTTGGAACTCATTTTCTTTTCTATGAACCAAACTGTTTTAATATTTATTTTACTTAAGCTGTTTATAATGTGCCTGTATTATGATATTCTAATTCATTGTTACATGTTTGTTATTTGTTTTTATTGCTGGGTATTATTCTTCTGTGGTAACAAAGTATACAAAGGCATATAGGGGCATTTATTTTGTCATGTTAAAATTAATAAATACATCTGAACAAATTGATCTTGTAATTATTGTCATTCTAAGATTAAATATTACATATGGCTTATTCAACAAAATAAATGTTACAACCAGCTAATTTTTTTTGTTAGGCTACTTGTTCTGAGAAACTAAACCACAGACATGTCACAGCGAGGTCAAGATTTTTTTTCAGTTCCTTTGAAACAGAACTATGGCATGTCAAGTGAAGTACTGTGCAAAGAACATGTACTGAACAAATTTAATTTTTAAAAAGTAAAAAACAATCAGTGCATGACCTCAGTGGAAATAAAATAGCTTCCAGGAAATGGATATAAGTGGTCTCAGACCAATGTGAAGTATACAACTGAATGCTGAAGAAAATGCCCAGTGCAATGCACAAAAAGGAAATAAAGCAGTTTGCAAATGCCACTTCAAAGTGCACTATGCCAGGTGATGTTATGGTTCAAGTGAGTGAGAGAGAGAAAAGAGAGCCTTCTATAACAGATGCAGTTATCATTTTGTAGTGGAGTGATTTGCAGAGTGGGGTATGTTTTTAAGTTGTCTTCTAGACAGAAGCACACACACACACACACACATTAATTTTTTTGTAACTTATTTCAAAAAGTGCAACTTTCATATATTCTAGATTCATTACATGTAAAGTAAAACATTTCAAAAGTTTTTTTTTTTTTTAATTTTGATTATTAGAGTTTACAGCTCATGAAAGTAAAAATTCCAGTATATCAAAATATTAGAATATTTACATTTGAGTTTAATTAAATGACCATCCCTACAGTATAAATTCTGGGTATCTCTTGTTCTTTGAAACCACAATAATGGAGAAGACTGCTGACTTGGCAATGGTCCAGAAGATGATCATTGAGATCTGCCTCAAAGAGGGTAAGTCACAGAAGGTCATTACTGAAAGGGGTGGCTGTTCACAGAGTGCTGTATCAAAGCATATTAAATGCAAAGTTGACTGGAGGGAAGAAATTGGATAGGAAAAGGTGCACAAGCAACAGGGATGACCGCAAGCTTGAGAATACTGTCAAGCAAAACCGATTCAAACACTTGAGAGAGCTTCACAAGAGTGGACTGAAGCTGGAGTCAGTGCATCAAGAGTCATCACGCTCAGACGTCTTCAGGAAAAGGGCTACCAAGCCACTTCTGAAACAGAAACAATGTCAGAAGCATCTTACCTGGACTAAGGAGAAAAAGAACTGGACTGTTGCTCAGTGGTCCAAAGTCATCTTTTCAGAGAAAAGTAAATTTTGCATTTCATTTGGAAATCAAGGTCTGGAGTCTGGAAGAAGACTGGAGAGGCACAGAATCCAAGTCCAGTGTGAAGTTTCTGAAGTCAGTGATGATTTGGGGTGCCGTGACGTCGGCTGCTGGTGTTGGTCCATTGTGTTTTATCAAGTCCAAAGTCAATGCAGCTATCTACCAGGAGATTTTGGAGCACTTTATGCTTTCATCTGCTGACAAGCTTTATGGAGATGCTGATTTCCTTTTCCAGAAGGACTTAGCACCTGCACACAGTGCCAAAACCACTTCCAAGTGGTTTGCTGACCATGATATTACTGTGCTTGATTGGCCAGCCAACATGCCTGACCTGAACCCCATATGGAATCTATGGGATATTTTGAAGAGAAAGATGAGAAACAGTCGATCCAATAATACAGTCGAGCTGAAGGCTCAGTAGTGCCTCTGCAGTGCCACAGGCTGATCGCTTGCATGCCACACCACACTGATGCTGGAGTTTGTGCTAAAGGAGCCCCGACCAAGTATTGAGTGCATAAATGAACATACTTTAAAGAACTTGAACTTTTCTGTTTTGCAAATCCTTTTTTTTATTGATCTTAGGAAATGTTCTAATATTTTGAGATACTGGATTTTTGACTTTCATGAGCTGTAAGCACTAATCATCAAAATTAAAACAAAAAAAACTTTTGAAATGTTTTAATTTACATATAATGAATCTAGAATATATGAAAGTTTCACTTTTTGAAATAAGTTACAAAAATGTTTACTTTTTTACGATTATTATATATTTAATAATGTATATGTACATGCATAAAACCATGTAAATTATCTGGATTAAGATTACTCAAAATTTAAAAAATGAATCATAAATTGTTTTTCTCAAATCGATAGCTGTGGGCTAAGATGAGATGAGTTGCCTCCAAATGAAGACAAACTAAAAAACAAAATAAATAAAACATTTCTTAGAATAGTTTTTAAGTTTTTTTAATGAACCTTCTACTGGTTTATGGATATTTTTTATAGAACTTATTTAAATACACTGGGTATTCCCCAATGACTCAACATATTTATTGATATGATACAGCTTACCACTAAAATTTAACCAACTCTTTTAGTATTTCTAAGTACGATGATCATACATCCTCTTTTCCCTTGCTGGGATTTTCTAAATCACCTGTTTAGATTTTGGCTTTGTTTTCTAATTTTTTTTATACTTGATGGAGATAATAACTGAAAAGTAGTTTGAACAATAGTATTCATTGCACATCATAGTGTACAAGAAAGTGGGATCTACAGAGAACAGTCAAGGCAATGTAAATAAATGTACATATAATGTATGAGGACTGTAGAGCGGCCATCAGTAGGAAAACAGAGCTAATTGTACCCCCAATTTTGAAATCTCGGTCAGGAAATGTCTGGTCACACTATTACTGTCATATTTGTATGCCCCTACGCATTCTTCTAATTTCAGTTTGTAGCAGGCTTCCATATAACATTACATCAACACATTAGGCATTACATTAGGCAATTTAGAAATCCCAGCCAGGGAAAAGAGGATGTAGAAATATTAAAAGAGTTGGTGCAATTTTAGTGGTAAGCTGTAGGCTATCATATCAGTGAATAGGCTATGTTGAGTCATTGGGGAATACCCATTTGTATTTTAAATAAAAATATAAACATAAAGTTTTTCTTTATAAGATATCCATAAACCAGTAATGAGAAGGTTGATAAGAAACTGAGTATTCTAAGAAATGTTTTATTTCTTTTGTTTTTAAATTTGTCTTGCATTTGGAGCTGTACTATCACTCTTTAGGTGAGCGACTCATCTCACCTTAGCCAACAACTCCATAAAAAAGAAATATATTAATATTAGCAAAATTAAATAGTTCTACTTGCTTTCTTACTTTCTGACAATGAAATGGGGTTTAGATCATTTTTAAATTGTTTCAAAAAACAAAAAAATGCTGTATGTTGTTGGTAAATAAACAAATAAAAAAATGTAATTGATAACAAAACAAGCATTGCTTTTAGAGTTAGATTCATAATGTCCTAAAATCATTTATTTTAAAGTAATAGATACATCTTGCTGGATATCATTAATTAATGAACCAATATTTTTCCAAAGTTGTTCAGCA